AGGTGCCTTGCTTCTAGTGGACTTTCTTTCTCATCCTCCAGGGCTTCTCCACGTGCCCTTTCTCTCCAGCAGAATAGCCTGAGCTTCCTTAAAGCATGGCAGCTGGGTTCCAAGAGGATAAGACCCTCTGTACAAATGCTTGAGATGAAACTTCTACTTGCATCATGCTTGCTAATGTCATTGGTCAAAGCAAGTCGAATGGCCAAACCCAGAGTCAGTGTGGGAGGGGACTTCACAACCGGGAGTTGTGATTCACTGGGGGTTGCCAATGGAACTGTCTATCCCAGTAGGTATCATTTATCTCTCTTGTGCAGATGAGGGCACTGAAGCTCAAAAAGATTCATTTAACTCCCCAAAGTCATTCCAAATAGCCAGGGATATCAGACCTAGGTCTTTCTGACTCCATAGAATATGTCCTTTGCTGAGTCAGCCTGCTGTGAGGAGGAAGTGGAAAGGGGTGAAGCACCAGTGTCTTAGTTCTCTAGTGCTGCTATAAAAGAAATACTACAAGTGGATGGCTTTAACAAACTGAAATTTATTCTCTCACAGTTTGGGAGGCTAGAAGTCCAAATTCAGAGCACCAGCTACAAGGGAAGTCTTTCTCTCTCTGTTGGCTCCAGGGGATGGTCCTGTCATCAGTCTTTCCCTGAGTCTAGGACTTTCTCGGTGCAGGGATTCTGGGTCCAAAGGACACATTCCACTCCCAACTCTTCTTTCTTGATGGTAGTAGGTCCCTCTGATCCCTGCTCACTTGTTTAATCTCTTTTATATCTCCAAAGAGATTGAGTCAAGATACAACCTAATCTTGTACATTATATCCTGTCTCATGGATATAATTGCCTCTACTCTTGCCCCATGAACATCATAGAGGTTAGGATTTAGAACGCAGAGGATAATTACATCAGATCACAAAATGGAGGATAATTACATAATACTGAGAATCATGGACTAGCCAAATTGGCACACTTTTGGGGGGGACACAGTTCAATCCATAACAACCAAGAACCCAGTATAAATGACTACTGAGCTTCCAGGCCTCTTTAACCCAGAAGACAGCCTGGCAAATTCCCTGGCAAAGCTGTTGTCTTCTTCCTGATGGTTCCACCCAGTGAATCCTAGCCACAGAGTTGTATGAGGGCAAAGGCAGAATTAGGAGGCACCAAAGATATGATCGAGGCCACAGTGTGAGTTTTGTAGTCTGGCATTGTGACTTGGTCTACTCCCCAGCCTTCCCCCTCCCTCTCCTTCCCTCCACTACAGGCTTCTACAGAGCTGGCTAATTTGTCATTTCCCCTTCACTTCCCAACACACTACCTGGAAGGCCTCCTCCTATTTCTAAACTAGTTTATGTTTCCTGGGACAATTAGAATCTTCCTCTTGGCACCCCAGGCCCTGTGCTTCCCCTGATCACAGCATCCACCACACGGCTGTCACAGCCTGTACATTTTCTGTCCTTCTCTACAGAGATCTATTTAGGGACAGGGCCTTTAAGACCCATATCTGGCTTCCAGCACCCACACCCAGCTGTGGTTTCACTGAAGTGGAGAGTATTCTTTCTGGGGTTGCTCAGAGTCTCAGCACAATGTCCATGTTTCTGCAGCCCCCAAAGACTTTCACATTTTTAGCACCTGCAGAGTGCCCATCAGAGGTGGGAAACATAGGGGCACTGAGTCATTCAAGACTCATGTTCCAGCCCAAATTCTTTCCTTCATTAGCAGGGTGGCACTGAGAAAATCACTTAACCTTTCCCAGTGTGTCATCTCATCTACTTCCAATATATAGACAAGACTAGTCTCTGCTCTGTTTGAGTCACCCAGGATCAGAATCAACAGGAGCTTGGGGTGGAGCCAGTGTTTCCTTTGGAAACCAACGCAGTATTCATATGTCAGTAATCCTTCTCTTTGAGGGGTCTGATTTTTAGGACTCCAAGAAAGGATTCTTGACACTTGAGTAGTCTTCCACTCTGTGTCTCCTTCAATCTATCATAATGCCTGAGATTCTGCCATTCATCATCCTTTTTGGCTAAGGTAGTGTTTATACTCAAAAGGCCCCTGTTAAAACATGTCAAATGACCTGGAAAGGGTAGCACTCTCCAACCCTCGTATTGGAGTGTAAACAAGTATGAGCTTTCAGGAGAATAATCTGGCAATACTTATCAAAAGCCTTAAAAATATGCAGTCTGTGATGCAACACTTTCTTTTCTAGAAATTTATTGTAAGGAAATAATGCATTCAAAACTCTGTCTACAAGGAAGCCTTATTTATAGTAGCACAGAGTTATAAACATGTCCAAGGATAGATAATTGGCTAAATGATTGTAAGTACATACAAAGCTATACTACCAGGGCCGGCTTCATGGGTGGCGACAAAAGGCCCCATGCTCATCAGGGCCCCTCGTTATAATGGTCTGCTCTTGCCGTATTGAAATTCTTAACATTTTTTGAAGAGGCCCCTCAATTTCATTTTTCACTGAGCACCACATAATATTTATGGAGAATATTTCTTGGAGTGGGAAATTGATCTTAGTAAGTGAAGAAATTAGGATACAGAACTGCAAATGATGCAATCCTAATTTTATTCTTAAAAAAAAAAAAAAACAGACTGGGCAGAAATACACCAAACTGTTAATTATCTCTGGACAAGTGAGATTAGAGGTATTCTTTTTATTATTTCTTTTCTCCTTTGAGCTTTTTTTTTTTTTTTTTTTTTTTTTCCATGCAGGAGGTGTGAATATGCTCACTAATTCTAGTATTTCCAGTAGAGGCAGAGTGTATATATCATAACTGAGAACTAGCAATCCCTTCTTGTGTCTCTAATTAAGTTTTAGTATTCAAAGAGTAGGCTTCTGGGTAAACATATGAAGAAAAGGTGAGTTGATGAGTAAACCAAGTTTTCTTATGAGCCCCTTGAAGTCCAAGAAAGACTGTCTGATTTCTTGAACCCATTTCCCTTCATGGTCAAGGTGCTCAGTGAATGGACATCTTGCCTTATGAGGAGCCTATGGTCATTAGTGGTCTTTCCCCATGACACGTCTTTTTGGACATTGACCACATTGTGTTCTGACCTGAAATCTCTCTGGCTTGGGGTTGGACATGTGCCCCAAGGGAGTCTGTGGACCAGGGAGAGAAACCTTCAGTCCTTGCCCCAAGGCCTCCTGTGCCCTATCTCAGTCTGGGAACAGTCTCAGGAGCAGAAGTTAAAGTCTTCCTGTGTAAAGCTGTGAAGGCACACCTGGCCCTATCTCCCTCCATGAGTGTGGCTCATTGCTGACATCATCTTTACAGCAGAGGGCAGTAGTGATCAGCTAGCTGAGAAAGGAATTGGGGAAGGGAGGTGTTTCCTTGTAGGAAGTGGCCCTATTCACTCCACACCTATTTCTCCTTCTCTCCCAAAACCTTATCAGGCTGTGTCTGTCTGTCCTGAATCTCAGCTGAACATGGCAGAGAACACAAGAATCCTAGAACTTTAGCTCTCTAAAGCCAAGACCTCTGAGGTAATAGCACCCACTCTGTCATGTAACAGATGGGAACACTGGGGCCCAGAGAAGGGATGGATTTCCTTAGAGCCACACAGTGAGCAAAGCACAGACCAAGTTTTGGCCCTTTCAGTGACTCATACTGTGGAATTGCCCTATATGGAAAGGCCATTCAAAAGAAGGTGAGCAGCCATGAGAGATACTTACTGGACCTTCTGTGTATTCAGCCCTAGAGACAGAGGAAAGAGAGTTCCCAGTCTAGACAATTGAGCTTTTGGCCATGCTAGGCAGTTAGGACTCTCTTGCCTCTAAATTTCCAATACGCTGAATCCTGTGTTCCTAATGGGCCCTTGCCACTCTACAAGCCTGTGAAATCTACCCCCACAGGTATGGCTAGGTCTCCTCCTCCCTCTGTCTGCTTCCCTTCAGCACACTCAGCTCCTAGCAGGGTGCACAGTACTTAGGGAGAGATGTGAGGGTACAAGGGTAACGGGGAGTGGTTATGGGAGTAACAGGCAGCACTCCTCTCTGCTTCACTGAGCCAGGCAGGGTAGCAGGACCCTGCTGCTCTCTCCCTCATGGCTCCTGGTGCCTGCCTGATGAGTTTCCTGAGAATGCCTATGTTGTCACATCTCTGTGCCTTCATTGCATGGTCCCCAATGGCCCACTCTCCTCCAATGCCTCTTTGCTCCATTCTTCTCTCCTTTAAGGCCCTGCCTGGTGCCTACTGGTCCCCAAGCCTCCTTTTCCATGGTCACCCATCTGGGTTACCACAGCCTGTGGTGTGTAGCTCTGGTGACAGTGGGCAGGGAACTTGACACCCTACATATCTGTGCTCAGATCTGGCACTTCCACTGACCACTTGGGTAACCTTGACCTGACTTGTAAAATGGAGATACCAGATGAACAGTCACAAGGATATAGAGACAGCATAGAGTGCCTGACAGAGCAGGCAAGCAACTAGTGGCTGCCACTGGTGCCTAAGCTCATTCTCCCCAGGAGACGAGTTCTTTGGGGTCTGGATAGGGTCTCGTTCTCCCCAGGAGGTGATGAGTTCTTTGAGGACAGAGTAGGGTCTTTCTGGTGTCCCAGGACCTACTATAGGTTGAAGCAATGAATGGATGGATGAAATGTCTGGGGATAGGCAGGGTACTCTGAGCAGTGTGTTCCCTTCTCAGCAAGAGGCAGGAAAGCAGCCTCACCCCACCAACACCTGGTCTTCACTGGCCTCAAGAGGCCCACCTCTCCTCCCAACCCCTTCTCAACCATAGCACTGAAAGCCTTGCCCCAGTGACTTTTTCCCTGCTAATTATCCTTTTAAATGAAACTTATGATGGTTTCCATAAATTTTAAAGCTGATTTGCAGTAATTAGAGCTTGGGGTAGGCAGGGAGTGTTGGGCTGCAAATCATCTATTAGTGAGATTGACATGAGGACATCCTGGATTACCAAGGTTAGAGTCTGTCCCCCTCTCTGGCCCCAGAGACTGCCTGCTCAGGGCTGACAACTGTGCTTCTTGCTTGGCAGACCACAGTGAGCTGGGATGGAGACAAGCTTGAGTGTGTGCAGAAGGGCGAGAAGGATGGGCGCGGCTGGACCCAGTGGATCGAGGGTGATGAACTGCACCTGGTAGGTTCCTGGGCTGGGTGGGATGGGTGAGGCTGGGCCCCTGGAAGCCCTGGTCACCATGGAAGTCAGCATGTACCTTGGAAGAATGTAGTGTGGCTGGACCTTGCTTCCTCTCTGAAGCTTCTCTTTCAAGGCCTGGACAAGTTACTCAAGTAACTTTATGAAAAATGTGTTTTCAGGTCTAGGACTTGTCCAATGAGAGGGAGGAGGTAAGTGGGTGCATTCACTAAATGTGACATACTGAGCTAGGCCCTTTTGCATTTCTTACTCTTCCCATTCTCTCAGCAACACTATGGGCCAAGTACATTATTATGTATCTGTTTTGGAGATGAGGACATGGAGGCTCTGAAAGGTTAGATTAAACATACAGGGTGTGCTTTAGAAAGTGACAGAACCAAAATGTGCTCCCAAATGCTTTATATTGTCACCATGCCAAATTGTGATAGCCCAGAATTCTCTTAGCTTCTGTAAGACATAATCTCAGTCTAGGTTAGGGGAAGAAGTCTTCTTCAGTTGGGGGAGTGAGTCCCATTCACCTCCAGCCTGGGCCTCAGAGCAAAACCACTTCCACTCTGTCCACTGGGAAAAACATGCACACATCCATAGTAAAAGGAAGAACAAAAACAAAAAAAGCCCATTACCATCAAGTTGATTCTGACTCATGGCACCCCAATGTGTTACAGAGTAGAGCTGAGCTCCATAGTGTTTCTTAGTAATCTTTATGGAATCAGATCACCAGGCTTATCTTCCATGGTACAGCTGGTAGGTTCAAACTGCCAACCTTTAGGTTAGTAGCCAAGTGCAAACCATTATGCCACCCAGGGAACTAATAGAGCCCTATGTTTTCTGGGAGCTCTGGTAGCATAGTGGCTAAGGCACTTGACTGCTAACCAGAAGGCTGGCGGTTCAAACCCACCAGCCACTCCTCGGAAGGAAGGTTGGGCAATCCTACTTCCGTAGTGATACTGCCTCGGAAACCCAAGGAGGGGTCGCTATGAGTCAGGGCTGACTCGATGGCACATAACAACAACAACAACATGTTTTCTGGACATAGCACTTGTCCTCTGAAGAGAAAGCTCCCATTGCTCTTTCTGCCCTGAGTCCCGGAATATATTCTACGTAATTCTACGGTAGAAGCCTGATCCAGATGACCAAGTCATTGAATGCTCTTGGGCAGGTCCCTTCCCTGCCTCTTGGCCCCATCTGCAAAAGGCCATCATACCAAATAGGGATTCTATGAAGACCAAGGTCTGCAAGAGCTTTGAGAATGTGGGTTGTGAGGAGAGGCACAAGGCCATTATTTTCAGAGGCTACCTAGCCTGGTGCAGAGAGTCTAGGCTGAGGGGCCTGACCTTGAGCTAGTCTCCCCTAGACCTCTGTTTCCTCAATTTGGAGCAAAGCATAGATAAAATGACATCCACTGGTCCTCTCAGCTCAATAGCTCTGGGGATCTATGTCAAAGGTTGTAAACTGGGGGCCATAGGCCTGTTTTTTTCACCCTCACAGGACTTCAACCTTTTCATTCAGCAACTTAAAAATTGGAGATGTCACAAAAATATCTAGATTTCCAAGTTCCTTCAAAACTACACCTTGGAAGATATGGCAACCCTATGCTGTCATTCCCACCTGGCAGCAGTCCACAGGGGCCTGTGCACAGAGTATGGGTTTTGGCTCTGCATTTTAGAGCCACCTGGGATATCAATCCCCATGCTCCACCCCCAGAGATTCTGATAGAACTTGTCTAGCATGGGGTCCAGGTGCTTTTCAAACTCCCCAGGTGATTCTGAGGTGCAACTTAAGCTCAGAACCACTGCAAAAGTTTGCAACCCCTGGTCTTTGTGGAAATCTATTGAGCTCCTTTTTGGGTTAAACAATGTGTCTGGGCCTGATTTCTTCCAAGCCTGGGAACAGACTCTGTCCTGGGATCAGGCATGAGGTTCTTAGAGCCTTTTTGCCTCTTAGGAAAGGGACCTCAGGGGTCCTACTGGTCAATACTGAGCCACATCTGTTCCTCCAGCCAACTGCACAGACATTGTGCAGCAGAATATGACTTCCACTGCTGATCAAGTTCAACCAACATTCCAAGACATTGGTTAGTTTGCTCCAACTCATGGGAGAAATTAGCAGCTATTGAGGATTTTCAGAGTTCTTGACCTAGACACACCAAGGCCCAAGTGACAGCTTGCTCTGGCCAATGACATGCATCTGCTTGTGTTTCAGGAGATGAGAGTGCAGGGTGTGGTCTGCAAGCAAGTGTTCAAGAAGGTGCAGTGAGGCCCAGCAGATGGCCAGACTCTGGCCTCCAGAAAGAAGTGGTGTGAAGTATGGGCCAGTATACCCTTCTTTGCACAGCATGGAGCAGAAATGTCCAGCCCTCACCTCCCGGGCATCTGTTAGCAGAGTTTGTCTCTTGAGTTTGTTTCTTTTCTTTTTCTTAAAACAAGGCCGTCCCAATAAATATGATCTCTGCTCAAGATGTTTCTTTTGGAAAAGCTTCACATCCCTGCTGGAACTTCTGAGGCTAGCTGCTCTGATGCTGCAGCTGTGTAGAAGAGAGTGATTCAACCACCCACCTCACCTGCAGATTGAGTCCTGACATAAAACCTGTGCATGTCTTTCCCCAGAAGCACAGGCTTGGGTGCAGGGTGTGTGTGTGGCCTGGTAGTCAGTGATCTGTGAAGTAAATATGATCTTGTGTTCAGTACAGCCAAAGTGTAGCAAGAAAAGAAGCCCTCAATTCCTGGAACTTAGAGCCTTGTTAAGGAGATCCAGTCAACAGAGAGCAGCTTAATAATTGTACCATACACATAAAAGATACTCTAAAAATTATTGGGGAATGAAATGATACTGCACAGAATTTTAAACCCCAAACTATAATGAGATGAATATTAATCAAAGATAATTATGTATTGGTTTTGATTTTAGAGGTGTCATAAATATACCCCATCCCTACGCCATAACCATAACCACCACTACCCATTTATAGACTGATGGAAATCCTTTCTTTCCCCCACTGTTATAGATGAGGCTTAACATGCAGATCTCCCTAGAAGGTGGAAAGCAGTCTTATGTTCATCCTAAAGTGCAAATAATTGCTAGCTATGTCTTTGCATCAAGAAATGCAGGGAAACTGAAGGGGAAGTGAAAAGGTAGAAGATCATGGATGGGGAAAACAGTGGAAAAAGGAAAAACTCACATCAAGGACTCTCTTGGTCAACCTCACAATCTACCCAAATTGTACCCTGCCCGTTAGAAAGTGCATTGGGCTAGGAGACAGATGGCAGCATGCAACACACCTCTCTGGGTCTCTGTTCTCCATTCAGAAAACCACAATAATAATAATACACCTCACCTGCACAGGTGGGTTATTGAGATAGTGATGTTTAAGAAACTTAATGAGTGACAAATTCTGGAGTGGTTCTCAGACCCAGCTGCATATTAAAACCACCTGGAAAGCTTTCAAAATTCCCTACATTCAGGCCTCTGCCCATAAACAATTATACCCACTCCCCACTTCTGGACATGGTTAGGTTCCAAAGACCTGGTTGTCACACAAAAATTGGCATTATGCAAGAATGAAAAATGACATCAGGTAACAAAATGGAAGGTGACTACATCATTACATAACTGCCAAATTACATCATTACATAACTGCCAAACCACTAAGAATCAAGGCCCAGGCACGCTGACACATAACCTTAACCATCACAGCCAGAGTTACTCTCACCTAGCACCTTGCCTTTCATTACTGCCAGACTACATTGTTAATGCACAAAATATTTGGATAGTATATTTTTTTACTATTATAAATGTGAAATGTCAGATAGCAAGATAGTCAATAAGTGAGGAGTAGGTGTACATGTGAATGTTTCAAGGTGAGGTCCAGGAATCAGTAATTTTTGAAGTTCCTTACTAGACTCTAATGCACAACTAGGATTGAGAACCATTGCCTTACACCAGTGGTTCTCAGCTGGAAGTGGTTTAGCTTCCTTGCTACCACTCACTCAGGGGACATTCAGTAATGTCTGGACACAGAGTTGATTGTCATGACTTGTGAGGTAGAAGCTACTAACATCTATTGACAGAGGCCAGAGATGCTGCTAAACATTCCACGACACACAATAGTCTCCTACAACAAAGAATTAACCCTGCCCAAAATGTCAATAGTGAAGAAGTTAAGAAACCCTAAACCAAAAAAAGAAAAAAATCAAACTCACTGTTGTCGAGTTGATTCTGATTCATAGACCCCCTTTGGGTTTCCAAGGCAGTAAATCTTTACTGAAGTAGATTGTTCAGTCTTCCTTCTGTGGAGTGGCTGGTGGGTTTGAACCACCAACCTTTTGGTTAGTAATCAAAACCCTACCCTAGATTAATGTAAAAAAAAAAAAAAAAAAGAAAACTTTTCCAAATTTTATAAGTCATTTCCCTAGCCTAGAGCAAGGAAAAGAGGCATGGTGGTTCAACAATTAAGTGTGAGGCTGGTAACTGCAGGTTGGTAGTTCGAACCTACCGAGCTGCTCAGCAGGAAGAAGACGTGGGATTCTGCTTCCACAAAGATTACAGCCAAAAAAAACCCTGTGGGGTGGTTCTACTCTGTCATGGGGTCTCTATAAGTTGGAATCAATGGCACCCAACAACAATAGACAGGTAAATTAGACCAAAATTGTCTAAGATCTCAAAGACATTCACTAGGGTCTCTGTCCTGAGATTAAAGAACTCAAAAGACAGATTGTGCTAAAGACCATTCATTCATTTATCCTGCAGATATTTAAGGAAGGCATATTATATGCCAGACACTGACCTAGTGCCACACTGTTACCATCCAGGAATGTTTGAAATACCACCCTTTCCCATCCCAAGCACTGAGCCCCCTTGGACTTCTTCCACCCTTGATCCATAAAGACTTCACCCAGCAATCAGGTCCTGAAGAGGGCTCAGAAGTATGACTGTATTAGCTTGAGCTTCCAGGTAGTGTCAGAGTCATGTCCATCCAGGGAAGACACAGCCCCCTCTTTTCGAACATCTTGAATACCAGGACTTATTTTAATTGGCAGTAGGAAGCTACTGGAAGTTTTTGAGCAGGGGACTGATTTGATCAGCCTTCCTTTAGCAGAGCTAATCTGACAGTCATTCAGTGGTAAGAGAATGAGAAATACCAGTTAGGAATTTAGCACCATGCAGTTACACTTAATGCAAAATTCATTTCATATAAGACTAATCTTCCCAAAGAAATACATGTAAAGTGGGAGGGATGTTTTTCCTAGTGTGCATAAAGCTGTAACCACTGAAGTGTGTTTTCAGCTTTAATGCTGCTTTTCATTTTCTAAGCACTATCTCCAATATTCTGCAGAGGGCTTGTTTCTAAATTGGCAGTGGCATGTATCATAGTGGTTATTTAGCCTGCTTTGTGGCATTTTAACACCTCTCACCTCTGGTCCAAAGCTATTGATATTAGTTCCTTTTTTTGAGCACTACTGCAAGCTCCACTATGTTACCAACACTTGGATACCATTGTTAGGGGATATGAGGAAAGATTTTCAATTCCAACAGTGCCTGATAACATAACCAGGCACCAGTAAAGGAATCATTACTGAATTTATGAGCATGGCCACAGCATTGTGATGCCAAAGCAGGGAGGCTGTCTGTTTACCAGCTCACCCGACGCCAATGCCCTAGGCCTGACAAACTTGAAAGTATAAGATTCTGAACATTTTTGTAACTGGGTGGAGTGCTACATTATTTCAAAAAACCCCATAAAGTAAGACTTTATTGATATATTTCTTGTTGTTCTTCTTGTTGTTATTGCCGTCAAGTTGGACCCAACTCATAGTGACCCCTCCTTGGGTTGCCGAGGCAGTATCACTACGGAAGTAGATTGCCCAACCTTCCTTCTGAGGAGTGGCTGGTGGGTTTGAACTGCCAGCCTTCTGGTTAGCAGTCAAGTGCCTTAGGCGCTATGCTACCATTTATATTACATAATTTCAAAATTGCAAGAATTAATGTGTGGCAACTCAGGCAAGGACTGTTAAGGCAGATCTCAGTTTAGGGGGAGGACTGTGTTGAGGACAGGTGGCAGGTGAAGTGGTTGAACACCAAACCTCTGGAGCCACACAGCCTGGGGCCAAATCCCAGCTCTCCTATTTCCTAGCTCTATGAAGTTAAGGCCCCAAGCCCCCCAAAAAACAAACTGCCATCTAGTCAATTCTGACTCATAGTGACCCTATAGGAGGAGGAGATCTGCCCCACAGGGTTTCCAAGGCTGTAAAACTTTATGGAGGTTGGTGGGTTCAAACCACCAACCTTTTGCTTAAAAGCCAGGTGCTTAACCACTGTGCCACCAGGGTCCTCAATGTTAAGGCCAGTCATGCAATTTCTCTGTGCTCCAGTTTATTCATCTGTAAACTGGAGCTAACACATCTTCATAGAGGTTTTGTGATGGGTAAATGAATTTAATTCGTTGGTGGTTCAGTAGTAAAATTCTCACCTTTGTATGGGAGAGTTGGGTTTGATTTCCAGCCAATGCACCCCATGCACAGCCACTACTCATCTCTTAGTGGAGGCTTATGTGTTGCCATGATCCTGGAAAGGTTCAGCAGAACTTCCAGACTAAGATGGAGTAGGAAGAAAGGCCTGGCAATCTAGTTCCAAAAATCAGCCAATGAAAGCCTGTGGGTCACAAGGGTCCAGTTCACAACCAATCATGGAGATGGCACAGGACTGCACAGTGTTTTGTTCTGTTATGTATAGGGTCCTCATAACTTGGGGGCTGACTTGGTGCCAGCTAACAACAGACAACTGAGAGCAGATGCTTATTTTATCTGCAAAGGGATCTGAACAGTGCATATAACAAGTCTCTGTGTGGGTTTAAAAAGAAAAGATCTGAGAGGCACCTCATTGGTGGAATCAATTTGACGTCACCACTGACAGGTGTGGATAGCTGAAGAGCAGCAGGAGCTGAAGCCAGAGAGACAATCAGCAGAAATCAGGAGGGGCATCCTGAAAATCCAGAGGGATTGGCCACGAGGGCAGGAAATCCTAGCTTGACTTCAGTGGCTGAGGGAGGGGCTAAACCAAGCCAAACCCATGTGAAGATCTTCTGCCACTCTTACCTTCCCCAGAGACTGATTGGGTCTCCTGGGCTTTTGACCCTCTGATACTCAGATACAGTGACCGCAATCACAAGTGGGAGGGTGGACTATGTACTCAAAACCCCCAAGACCTCTGAATGTAATTTTCTATTCAGCTCCCAAACCTCCCCACAAGAAAATCCTGAC